GCCTGGAGTGCTGCAGTCCATGGGGTCACAAAGAGTCGGACACTACTAAGTGACTGAACTGAACTTAGATATTCATTCCAGCGGTATCATGTTCCCAAAGAGACAGTTCTATGTATTAAGTTTAGAGTATAAAATACAATTAATTTTGTATCAATTGTATACAATTAATACAATGAAATTATAAAAGGAAGTTGCTAAGATATATATGTTCAGAGAAATAGCATTTACAACTGAAAATAGAGAAGCAAAGAATAGAATAAGAAAGAATATCACACCTTATAAAAAATAACATAACTATAAAAAAGGACAGAAAACATTTATTTCTCAGTGAAAAATATACTCACTCTGGGAAGAAAGAAAATGACTAATATCAAAATGAAAAGTCAGAAAAGTTTAATAATAAAGGCTAACTCAGTGAAAATCTACTACATTTCCTAGAATACTTTGATGATAGGAAAATGATGAGCAAATTATTTCCCAAGTGTGATGTATCTAGGAAATAGATCAGTGAAACAAAAAGAGTAATATCATCACAGCATACAAACAGAAAATTCACATATAGAAGCAAAAAAATCACAGTTTACATTGCATTCTTTAAAATCAAACATCACTTTTTCACATTCTGAAGATTCCCCCCCCACACACCAAATATGGAAAGAAAAACAAGCCAGGACTTTAATATATTTTTTTCAACCTGGAACAGCTGCAAAAAACAAATCTTGCTGGAGATAAGCTTGGTTATAAATATCAACATTCCCTTTAAATAAGGGAGCCCAGTTTTCATACCATCTGCCTCTTTCTAAAAGTTAAAAAAAAAAAAATGAAAATCGTAAACCAGGACATTCTCTTTCAAATTAGGCATTTAGAAATGAATGTCATAAAAAGGCTGTGAACTCTTCTAGGCCCCTGTCTTTAAACTTGCCCTTTTAGGTTCATTTTAGAAAATGGGATTTTATGAAAGTAAACAACTGAGTGCACTAATAAACTGCATGAAGCCATTAATAAAGAAAAAATATAATTTTTCAACTATTCAACCCAGGAATTGAAACAGAGTCTCCTGCATTGCAGGCAGATTCTTTACCAGCTGAGCAGCTACCAGGGAAGCCCAAAATAAAAAATAATTGTTCAACTTTTTCACATTATTGACCATAATCAAAATCTCTGGCCCAAACTTCTCTTTGATGAATCATATTCCCTTACCGTTTACTTTTTAACTATAATACATTTGTCACTTTTCCTACCTTTTCCAAAATTTTTTTATAACCTGTTCCAAAGACTTACATGTTATCTCTTTCAGTACAAAAGTCTCGTTACTACAGAACCAGACTTTCAATACAGGTTCTATCTCTGCAAAAATCTCTCCTATGCCTCTCTCAACACAGTGGTGTTTTCATGCTTGAATTTCAAATTTACCTTAAAACCTCCTTTCATCTTTTGCCCTTAATTATTTTTCATTCTTTGTTAATGACCTTGTGATTTGAACACTTCAATTTTTCACTGTGCCACATTATTATATCTTCAATAATGAAGTTCATAAACCATATCCATTTTTTAACTCCTTAAAGCATTCACAAGAAAGAATAGATGCAAGATCATCTACCAAGCAGAGACATTCAGAGTGGTATAGTAGAGACATCTACATAAAAGAATATCCACTACAGTAATATGAGACCACTTGAGAGAACATAGAGGGAACAGAGAACAGAAAAAAATGGTATCTTGTATTTTAATGATAAATGTCAATGTTTAGTCAATTCCCTGAATTTCAGTGGTAGGATTCTGAAAAGCTACTAAAAACAACACACCGAGGGAGCCTGGGCATAATTCATTCTCATTTTCACATTTATTCTTCCCTTCCTCTTTTTTTCTACACACACATAAACACACCCCTATATACTGCAAACAAAAAGAAGATTGAATCTTTAATCATGAGCATTTGTAGCTATTTTGATGCTAAAATGCACTTAAATGTGTCCTTCATAGGAAAAACATGTCCTGAGACTTCTCACTGTCATTCTGTTTAAGCCACAGACCACCTAGGTCTGTAATTATAGAAAATAAAGTTCTTTTACAAATGACATTTAATTGCTCTCTTGGAATGCTGCATCTTCAGTATACAAGAAGTGAGGAGAGAAGAGATTTCTTCAAAGTCATGGTCAATAATATTAAAAATAAATAACAATATTATAGCAATCAATATTTCATTTCTTCATGATTTGATGCAAGCATGACAAAATATGAACAATTAGATGATCAGTGTTGCAACAAGAAAGCTATTTTACCTTCGACCTATCAACTGTTACTTTTAAAAGGTTAAAAAGCTCTTTTCATAATAGTCCATTTTTTATTTTCTGGCTTCCCTTCAGTAGAATGTTTGTACAATTGTTTGTATACTAAAAAATCTCAAATAAATTAGGACACTGGATACTCAGTACATTCTTGAACAGATATTTTCCAGAACTATTACGTTAACTTAAAACATCCACATTTTATGCTTAATTATTATAAACTTGATTTTAAAAGCTTTGAATTTTAAATTACTGTAAGTTCTCTCTTAGAAGCAGATAAGTCTGATGAAGTATGGGTTGACTCTTCCTTGCTTTACCTTATTTCCTTTCTGGTTCTGTCACTTTTTAGTTGTTTACTGAGCTAAGCTCGTTTACCATTTTTCAAACCAGTACAGTAAAAATTCCTATCTCATGCGGCTGCTGTAAGTGTTAAATTAAATCGCTAGTTCATTTAAAGTACTTAACATGGTGCTCCCCGCACAGTACGTACTGGATAAATGTTGTTAGCATCGTTCCATCATACTGACTTAATCACTTACTCACTGCGGAGTCACCACACACTCCAAATAAGCTTTTCAGGGAAAAAACGAATCTGAACTTGAAGACCTTACATTCATGTAAAAAGTCACTGAGATATATAAAGAAGAAAAGAAAAGGATGGTCTCATAATATCTATGTGTAACTTAATCACATATAAATAGTACCCTTTCTGCTATATGTGGTCTCCTAACCATCTTCTATCATCAGCTAAGTGGCTTCAGCAAAAGTATCTTTGGATAACTCAAAACAGCAAATTACATATACGGTCTTCTTCTTAATGTGTTGAAAACTTTGGATGAATAGATTATCACTTATATGCTTACAGTTTATGTACTTAAGGAGCATTCCAAAATACTTTCTAAAATGGAAGGCTTCTGAACAACAACAAAAATCTTGAACACTGGTCCTATTTTTTAAACTAGCAATTTAATCTTTGTCAGAAATCTCAAATTGTTCTCCAGTCTAAGAAAAGAATCTTCTCAATTCAACACCTGCACTAATTCTCTGTTATTCCTTCCTCAGGAGTTCAGGAGTTGTAAACCCTTGATGTTATTTCTAAGCCTATATGTCACAATTTCTCTTACATATTCACACTTGCATTAGGTAGGTCAGTATGGTTCTTTTTACTAGAGCAGTGGTAATTAGACATTAGATAAAACTGGTTCCATCAATGATCAAAACTTGAATTTGCAGTATCAAATTTAGCATTCCAAATGTTAAAAATGACCCTACCTCTAACATAAAATGCTGAGTAAGAAATACAATTTTAGGATATCCTTTAAATTACAGTCCATTCCAATGTTTTCCAAAAAAACCTTTAAGAAAAATATAATAATATTCAAATCACTTCTCTATTTTACTTTTGAAAATTAACTTCACTATAACATACTATTTGTTTCAAGGTCCATCATAAAAATGATTTTATAAAAGCACTTGATAACTACCTCACTAATTTTAGAAATCTTTCCCCTACTATTGGGTCTTTATTATTTTAACCAAAATTTGGGAGCAGGGAATAGATTACATATCATGGGCCCTTTTAATGAAAATACACAAAGTTCACTTAAAGTGTTTATTTTCAAATTATTACTGAACTCTGAACAATTTAAAGAAAAAAAGCAATTGAACTTCTCAAAGCAATTTTTACAGTAAAATGTGTAACCTGATTTTGCACAAGTACAGAATACTGCCCAGCAACCTCTGTCCCAAATTGATCTCATCTCCTGTTTGATTCAGTCGTAACTCCAGGTTGTGTTTCTCCTGAAACACATCTTCATCTCAGCCTGGGCACATGAATTTGTTTCCCAAATCACAAAAATATAGATCTTTAGGTAAGGTCAACTGACTTTGCAAGTTCACTCTCACTCTCTCGCACACACCAAAACACACATTTACACATACACCAAACAGACAAAAATCCACATACGTGTGCTCAGATAGAAACACTGATCATGTCAGTACTTTGATCTCAGTGTAAGAAGTGTCCCGTCTCCTGCAAGTATAAAAAATGTCCTACTTCCTTTGTGCCCTGGAGTTTACACCACAAATATATGGGGAACCACTAAAGAGTTATGATTAGAATGAGGAGTGGAAGAAGAGAGCAGAAGATAAGGTCACATACATAATAGGGGCCCATTTTCTTCCATTTTATGACAAATTTCTTCTCTCTACAAAATTTATGAGACATCAACATATCAATTAATCAAGAAAGATTTAAAATAATGTTGAATAATAGATATTTTATTATCTTAATTTGTTCTATGAACTTAATTACTTATTATGCAGGTACATTGATTTTAACCAATGTATAATTATCAAATTACAGTAATGTACCAAAATATCATAGTGTACCAAATATCAAGAGAGATCAAATATTTTAATGTGGCAACAAATTCTTATAGGCAATTAATAATACTAAGTGATTTAACAAATTAATCAGATAAAGGTTTACAGTTTTATAGATCTCACTCTGTTTTTTTGGATTTGTCCAAAATCACAAAATAAATTCAAGTAAAAACATTTCCCCATCATAATCCTGCCTCCCGTAAGAAAGAACAAATTCCAAACTCAAGTTCATTGCCAAAAGCAAACAAAAACAAGAAAAACAAAGTGAAAGAAAACAAACCACAAGTCAAAACACGTTTTGCCAAATGTTAAATCAAATAAACACACCTTGTGCTTTGTCCTTGAGGCTGCCAAGTCTGAACTCTGGAATGCTGCCAAGAGGTAAGATGTTTCCAAAGGCAAGATCTTTACTGAGGAAGCTGTGCTCGCATTCCTGGCAAATTCAGTTCCACCAATAATAATATTCTGATAGCTTTTTCCTACTGGAATTCAAATAGAGTATATGGAAATATTAAATGGATGATCTCCACTTCCTTAGTGTATGCAAAATAAAATCACTGTAGTAGCATTTTCCATGTTGTGGTTCATGGTTTGCTAACTCTATCATATGTTCATTCAAATTAAGTTCTTATGCCAATATATACTTGAAAAACACTGCATTTTATTCCCCCTTTACACAAGATACAATTTCATTAAAAGGCTCTGAGAAGTCCTGTAATAGAAAAGCCTATTGAAATTTATTTGAACCGAGGTGTCCCAAACTTATTTAAGTAAACACCCTCTTTCACTATACTCAACAGTCACATTACTTCTGCAGATCACACTTTAAGAATGATTCATTGTATAGTGATTGTCTGTAAAGCAGTAAGAGATGTTTCCACTATATTTTAGACTTAAATATGAAAATAGAGACTGATCTGAATTTTATTTTCCATTAGTGCAATTTGTAGAATTGATCTATAAATATAATTATATTTATTCAACCATAATTTGTTACGTACATGTTACTTTCTAAGCCAAATTTTCATTAAAAAGTAATAAGAAAATTAAAAAAATGTACAGTTTATTAATTTTGTTCAAAAAAATATTTACTAAATATTTACTATGTTCCAGGAACTGAACTTCTATCTAGCTTTATGTTCCAATTGTTCTCACATAAATAAGAATGTCAAATTTAAGTGGCTCCAAGCTGCTATATAATAACAAGCAGCTCAAAATGTAACTATAAGTATTTGAGAATACAATTTTTACTAATTATAGTCACACAATTAAAAATATCTTGCAGAGGTGGCCCAGATGATGGAGTAGGAAGACCATGAGCACACCTCCTCCCAAACAGATACACTAAAATTACACCTACTTACAGAGCAATTCTCCATGAAAACAACATTAAGACTAGCATAAAGAATCTTCTACAACTAAACACATAAGAGAAAACAAGGAGATGAATATGAGAGGGAGAGATGCCATATAGTCAGAATCCACTTCCTCAAGTTGTCAAACCACAAATGAAAATAATATCAAAATCTTAAGAGTTCCTCCCCAAGGACTAAGCGGTCTGAGCCCCACACTAAGCTCCCTAGCCTGGGGGTCCTGCACCAGAAGGCAAACCCTCAGAACACTTGGCTTTGAAAACCAGAAAGTCTTGTGTTTGGGAAAACCAGAGAGCTAAAGGAAATAGACTCTGCTCTCAAAGGGCATGCCCAAACCTCACAAGCTTTGCCTCCCTGCACAAAGGCAACAGTCTGAGAGCAGCCTGGTCAGATCCACTTGCTGACCTCAGAGAGCCTCCCAGAGAGGCAGGAAGCAACTGGGGCTCCCCACAGGGACAGAGAATCTGGCAACAAGCATTTCTGGGAGCTCATTCTATGGCAATAACATCAGCATGGTCAATTCTCATTTTGGATTCTTGCCTCAAGCCATTAGTAGGACAGCAACAGGCCCATACCTCCCTGGAATGTGTAGCTGCTGCTGCTGCTGCTAAGTCACTTCAGTCATGTGCGACCCCATAGATGGCAGCCCACCAGGCTCCCCACCCAAAGCTTGGCTCCTCTCTCTAGTAATAAATACCAACCGAGTATCCCCCTGGACCATGCAAACAGTCATGTTAGGACCCAGCCCCAGACCCAGCCCCACCCAACAACAGGTGGGAGGCAGTCCTGTTTCCCCAGGCTGTACAACCAACTGCACGGGAAGCTCATTCTACCCCTAGGTCTACAGGTAACATACAACACATGACTTCACAGTCAGCCAGGCTGGGGCCAGCCTCGCCTACCAGCACAAACATGGCAGTTGGCCCCGCCACAACAGATAGCACATGCAGTCCACATAGGGGACGCTCTCAGAACATATAGTTCTGGTGACCAGAGTAGAGGACACCATTGGGCCACCCAAGATGTCTATTACATAAGGCCACTTCAAGAATAAGAAATGTAACTGACCGATCTAATAAAGACAAACAAACACAGAGAACTGGGCAAAGTGAGGTGACACAGAAATATGTCGTAAATGAAGGAACAGGTCATATCTCAGAAAAAGACCCAAACAAAGGTGACATAAGCAATCTATCCAATAAAGAGTTCAAGGCAATAATCATAAAGATGCTCACCAAATTCAGGAGACTGGATGAACACAGTGTGAATTTCAACAAAGAACTAGAAAATATAAAGAAGACCCAAATGTAATGAAAATTACAATAACTGCAATAAAAAATTTACTAGCAGAAATTAATAGTAAATTAGATACAGAGGAACAGATAAGCCATCTGGAAGATAGACCAGTGGAAATTAACCAAGCTGAATGGAAAAGAAAAAAAAAGAATTTATAAAAAATTAGGATAGTTTAACAGTTCTCTTGGACAATATCAAGGGAACTAACATCCACATTATAGGAGTCTCAGAAGAAAGAGAGGAAGGAACAGAAATAATAGCTGAAAATGTCTCTAACCAGGGGAAGGAAGCAGACATCCAAGTCCAGGAAGCACAGAGATTCCAAAACAAGATGAACACAAAAAGGTTCATTCCAAAACACTTTATAAATAAAATGGCAAAAATTAAAGATAACAAGAGGATATTAAAAGCAGTAAGTTAAAAGCAACAAGTTACACAAAGGAACTTTGCTAAGGCTATTAAAAGCAGCAAGTCAAGTTTGAGGAAACTCCCATATCAGCTGATTTTTAGCAGAAACTGCAGATGAGAAAGTAGTGGCATAATATGATGAAAGGGAAAAACCTACAACCAAAAATACTTTCCCTGACATGGCTTTTATTCAGATTTCTTAGCAAAACCAAAAGTTTTACAGACAAGCAAAAGCTGAATTCAACACCACCAAACTCAGTCTAAAAGATATATTAAAGGGACTCCTCTAAGAAGAAAAGGCCACATTAGAAATATGAAAATTATGAAATGCAAAAAAAATCTCACTGATAAAAAGGTAAACATACAGCAAAGGTAATAAATCACCTACTTATAAAACTAGTAGGAATATTAAAAGACAAAAGTAGTAAAATCATCTATATCTACAACAAATAGTTAAGGGGCACAAAAATATAAACATCAAATGCAGCAGTGGGGGAATAAAAATATAAGGTGGTCAGATGCCTTCAAACTAAATAGATCATAAACTTAAAATAATCACACACACACATATACATATGTGTATACATACATACATAGGTTGCTATATATGAACCACACAGTAACCACAAATCAAAAACCTAAAATACACACACAAAACTGCAAAAAAAGAGAATCTAAACAACACTAAAATAGTCATCAAATCAAAATGGAAGGAAAAGAACAAAGAAAGAAAAAAGAGCTACAGAAAAAAACCCCAAAACAATTAATCAAGTGACAATAAGTATATACATATCAAATAATTACTTTAAGCTTAAATGGACTTAATGTTTCAATGAAAAGGCATCCAGTCACTGAATGGATTAAAAAATTAAGACCCATATATATGCTTTTTACAAAAGATTCATTACATATCTAAAGACACACACAGACTCAAAGTAAGGAAATGAAAAAAAGTACTCATGAAAATTGAAACAAAAAAGGCTGGCATAGCACGGACAGATGAAATGTTTTTAGAAAAAACTATAACAACAGTAAAGAGTGTCATGACATAATGATAATGGGATCAATCCCACAAGAGGATATAATAATTGTAAATATAAATGCATACAGTGTGGGAGTGCCTAAATGAAGCAAATATTAACCAATATAAAAGAGAAACACAGTAATACAATAGTAGTGAAGGATTTTACCACCACATTTACATCAATGGACAAATCATATAGACAGAAAATTAATGAGAAAACACTGGCCTTAAATGGCATATTAGAGCAGATGGAATTAGTAGATACACATGAAATATTCCATCTCAAAATATCACAATACACAATTTTTTCAAGTGCACATGGGACATTCTCCATGATAGATCACATACTAGGCCACAAAATACACCTTAATAAATTTAAGAAGACTGAAAATATATCAAGCAGTTTTTTCTTACCAAAATGCTATGAGACCAGAAATCAATTACAAGAAGAAAAAAAAAAAGAACTACAGAAAATGCAAACACGTGGAAGCTAAACAATATGCTAGTTAAACAACCAAAAGAGGAACAGACCAAAATTAAATGAAGTAAAAAAATACCTGGAGACAAGTGAAAATTAAAGCACAACAACCCAAAATCTTTGAAATGCAGAAAAATTAGTTCTAAGATGGAAATTTACAGTGATAAAAGCCTGTTTTGTTTCAGGAAACAAAAAATATGAAATAAACAATCTGATCTTACACCTAACAGAACAGAAAATAAAGAACTAACAAAATCCAAAGTTACTAGACGGAAAGAAATAAAAAATATCAGAACAGAAATAAACACGACAAAAAAGGCATGAGAGGGTGCGAGGGAAAAGTTCCATCAAACTAAGAGTTGGTTTTTGGAAAAGACACACAAAACGGATGACTATCTAGCCAGACACATCAAGAAAGACAGAGAGGGCTCAAAACATTAAATCAAAATGAAAAAGGAGACATTACACCTGATACCACAGTTGGCCCATAAGAGATACTATAAGCTATTATGTGCCAATAAAAGGCTCATAAGAGATTACCACAAGCCATTATGTGCCAACAAAATGGAAAACCTAGAAGAAATGGATCAATTTCTAAAGATATAGAATTTCCCAAGACTGACTCAGGAAGCATTAGAAAATATGAAGAGGAAAAATTAAGAGTAATAAAATTTAATCAGTAATTATTAAAAAATAAATACTCTCAACAAAGTCCAGACATAGATGGCATCATAGAATTTTACCAAACATTTAAAGAGTAAACATCTATTCTTCTCAAACTAATCCAAAAATTGAAGAGGAAGGACCATTTCTAAACTCATTCTACAAGGCCAACAGCACATTGAATACCAAACCAGAAAAAGAGACCACAAAAAAAAATCATAGGCCAATAACACTAATAAA